AAACCCCAAAACCCCAAAACCCCAAAACCCCAAAACCCCAAAACCCCTTGTATTCTTAACAAAATTGTAAAGAATTTAAATTGTTTCTTCTGAAAGTCCCTCATTTTTGATTTGTTTCTTCTATATAAGGATTAAATCCTTCAAGTACAAAGTAGAGAACATGGAAAAATCCTGCTCCAGCTTGTTATAGCAAAAAATTTGCTTTGAGAAACTTACTGTTGGGCTTCAAGAGTTTCTCAATACTATTTTGAGCTCCAGAGTTATCTTTAGTGGCACTAAGATCAAATTCCTTCATATTCTGGGTCCATTTTAGCTTCAGATCTCTGCCCACTTCTTCTCTATCAGCTTGGAATCCAAGCTGTTGTTCTGACTGAAGGGTGGTGCAGGACCCGAATCTGTCATTCTGAAACTTATTAAGTGCTGGAGTTTTGAATTCAGGCTCGAACGTAAAATTTAGCTTATTTTCTTTGTATTTAGAGAGTAATCCCTCACAAATTTGGTCTAGCAAAGTTGTCCGAAGTTCCTACAATAATTAAGTATGAAAATTTACCATTCAGTTATTACCGAGGTAATGGCCGATTGGGTACACCGGCGTAGGCTTATAGACCGTGTGGTTTAGCTGATTAACGTTTAATTTATCCAACATATCTATCAATTGAGTTGTTATTTCGTCCTTTGATATGTTCTGATTTAAAACCCCACCAAGTTGCTGATCCAAAGTAGGCTGAATCAATGCCTCATTTAAATTTCAAAAAGCTTGACTAACTTGTTTATTTGTCCTGACATTTATAAGTGATGGAGAAGTAGCCTCTGAGTTGATCTTACTCATAGTTCTAGCCTCTTTCATCTGAAAATTTTTAATAGATTTGCCCATCCCGGATTCAAATTCTGATTCAATTTCTATCTCTTTTTGATTAGAAGCTCATACTGTTGGAACGTTGTTTTCTCAAAAGTATTTCTTCATATCATTGATGAAAGTCTTAAGGCCTGTCTCGCCAACCCACTTAAAGGCTGGCTTTCTAGTCTCAAGGGATGTCTTCTCGATCAGATTTAGAGCAGCAAGAACATTAGCAATATCATAAAGACGCCTGACCTTTGTTTTCAATTTTCTCTCATCAATCTGACCATCTGAGATTCTTCAAGCAGCTTGTTCCAATGAAAGAGTCTCTCTCCAAGTGAGGAACTGTTTAATAAAGCTTTCACAGAGAATTCCAAGGGACTTATTCTTCCTTCTTTTTACAGGAGTAGCTGTGAAGTCTTCTCTAACTCCTTCGATCATTCTCTTAATAGAGGTTTCAATTTGGTCAATTCCTCTCCATTCATATTTGTTCTTCGCTAACCGGGAGAGGACATTAAAGGACTCCAGAATGTTAATGATGTCATATATCCTCCTGCGCTCAACCCCAAGTGTATGGGTGCATTCATCCAATGCAATGATGCAGTATTGCTTAGCTCCATAGAGATAGATGAACTTTTTGCAGAGTTCTCCTAGGCTCTTCTCCTTCCTATTGTACTTCTTAGCAAGCCTCCTGGCTTTGTCAGAAGAAGGTCCCAAAGGAGCCCTGGGGTCATTCTGCGTGAAGCAGGAGTAAGACTCCTCTATAATATTGATTTCATCCATTTCCTCTTTAATTTCCTGCTTTGGACAGCCCTGAGTTGTCAGGTTTAAATTACCTTGGTTCATCAAAATAGAATTTGAAGTGCCCAAAGGCACTTTGGTGCCTTTGGGCACTTGATTTGATGCCTTATAGGTAGTCTGGTCCTCATGGTTATCAAGAGCAATCAATAATGTAGAACTATTAGATTTACTGGTCTTTATCATTTTTCTTAATTTTTATTCTTAAAAATTTAAATTTTCGCAAAATTAAATGTTTGAAGAGATATCATCGTAAATCTCAAAATGCTACTTTTTAAATAATATTCAATTATTAGCTGATTTATTGGGGTTTTGGGGTTTTGGGGTTTTGGGGTTTTGGGG